TTTCAATTCGGCTGAAATAGTTGCAGAGCTTCTGTTCAGTCTTCGACACCCCATGGCAACATCTTGATGGAGCTTTGTGTCGTCCCTTTCATAAAAACTTTTGAGGCGCATTTTTGAAACTTCCCCAGCACGTCTTCGATTGAACAGTTATTTGTGCAAATGTGAGTTTTGCAAGTTGAGCATAGTTCTGAGTGGTGGCCTCTTCTTTCAAGGTGCAGAAGGCACTTCTGAGTATTTCTCAAGGTACTGATGAAGGATCTAAACATCTTCAGTGAAGGGCAATGTTGATGGTTTGTTGTATTTTGCATCACTCAGTGTGTTCAGGGCACTGTGAGACACCAACTCAGACCACCTGGAGGTGTACAATTTCTTGAATATGTCAGTGGACCTGATCAGTTCTTCATCTTCTGTCATGAGTGCCCTACAATGAACAATGTCAGCGATTTTCTGCCGTGTATGCCCCAGTTTCAACGCAAGGCTTGGTTTCTGGTATGAGTGTTTTTCATCAAAACCTGAAACTTTCTTTACTGCTTGCACAACTCTCTGGAAGTTAGCAGGTTTAAAAGCCTCCTCTAGGTTATGTACTGAGAATTCTGTACGCAGGCATAACAACAAAGGCCCCATTTCACGGAGCTTCTGTCGAATGTATTCATATTTTGTAGGGTCTTGTCCATGTTTGTTGTGGTGACCGGGCAAACTGAATAATAGAGAGGTAATTTCGCATAACTGAGGCCACCTCATCTTGTTTCATGACACTAAGGAGATTCCACACTCCACTTGAGATCTGCTGACAGAATGTAGACTCCAGAGTTACAGCCAAGCCCAGTACTTTGGTTCTCCCAGGTTTTTCATCCAAATCTTCGTTGCGGACATGTGTCCAAAGCTCCTTACGTATGTACATCCCTTGACAATGCATACAGTGAATAAACTTTCCTGCCAGTGTTTTAGCCTTTGGCTTTCTCTTCACTTTCAGTGATCCTGTTCCATCTTGCAAAACTGCAGTGTTATGTTTAAAGTTTCCCTTATTCCTAATTTTTTCTAATAATATTAATAATATCTTGCGCTCTTTTGAGTCCTCAGGAAGGGAAAATGCATGGACAATTTCAGCATGTGTCTTGGGTGTTTTCAAGTGGCGGGAAATTTTGCTTTGTGGCTTACCACAAACATAACAGTAATTTTTTAACTCATAATCAGATGTGGTAATTCTTGTTCATGAGTCACAGCTTCATCCTCTAGCTTTTCCTTTGATGAGTCTTTGACAGAATTCGCTGAATTAGATGCGTCAGCAGCATTGGGAATCATCTCATTTTTAAGGGGTGGCCAACATTTTGATCTATGGGCACAACTGGGGTGCCTGTGTCTGACCCATAAGATGTTCCAACATCAGGTATTACTGGTTTTACTTGAATATGTGCAGCTCTTGCCTGACTTGACATTAGGTGGCATCTGAATCATCATCATATTCTGACTCCGAGTCAGGTATGTATTCCTTGTCAGACATGTACTCAGCATCATCAGATGATATTTGGTCCAATTCTGAATGGAATTTTGTCCTGATCTGACAGCAGTTCATCCCCAGAAGCCTTAGAAGTCTGCTGCGCCTGAATTGGTGAGAAAGCAAATTATTTTACATGGTGATTGAATCTTATAGACAGTTCGAGTTCAACACTCACTCAGTAGGTACTCACCTGTGCTGTGCTGTGAAAGTCATCTCTTGTAATTTGCTTGAGGCAGGATTTATGCCAGACCCCTGAACAAACTAACACATTTTGAGTAAAATAATGTTAACACTGCAGGTCTATTTAAATGGTTTAAGTGGTTAGAGCACAACACATGTATCCACCTACTGCCCTTTGACACACTCTATAGTAATTCACTAAATATCTCACCTGTGCATCGATAGCCAAGCCACTTGAAGGAGGATACGGGTCCCACACAATGAACACACTTGTCCAAGGAGGATATTGTTGCGCACACCAGGCGGTGTTTTTGACACTGTTGGCGAAAAATTTAATTGTAGTATTTATTTATGCCACATAGTTTGGACAGAAAGATATTTCATATTTACATGTCGATATCTGAATCACTTTAAATCCAATACCAATGTGACATTTAATTTACCTCGTACATATTATTCCCTTTCTATCGCATTGTATTTTATTATTATTTATAGCGTATCTTATTTATACGCAGCTTATTTATAGCATATCCTATATGAAGATATACCTTCTTCATATTTTTAAATTGTAGATGGGGAATTTGTGGTTAGCCTCAGTGCCAGGAGCTGACTTGTTGTAGCCCAGTATAACTAATAGGGTGCCTATCCACCACATGTAGCCAAACAACTTACCATTCACATTAAACTAACATACAGATCAAATGCAGGCAACCCAAGTGTTCTTAAAAACCAAAGTGATGCCTCTGGTGACAGGACCCTCTAAACTGTATGGACCTCCCAAGTCATATTTGGGTGGGATTCACTGTTTGATACACATACACTCAGATAGTATACTGACTGAAGCTTGGAAAAGCATGTTTAGAGAATGTCCTTCCATTTCATTGTCCACATAAAGCATGTTCTACTCAGGCGACTACACACACACACACACACACACGTAACTTCACTAAGTTGTACATCAGATTTAATTTACCTCTCCAACCTTGGTGAGTGGGCTGAGCACTGGACTAGTCTGATTCAGGTGGCTGACGGCTGTATGGATGCACTTGCTCTCAGTGGTCAGCTGTAGAAGATAATAAACAGAGGCAAAGGACAATAAAGAGAAAGTCCTGGGAACGTACTACTAGAGAGGATATTTGACATCTGAATAAAAAAAAGAAACCATTCTACTGTTGACAGAAAGACAGAGGAAAACCTTGCTTTAAAACTCACTGGATACTTTTCTAAGATATGGACAATCAGAGCAAGATATTTATAAAAATCAATCTTGTGTGAAGATATACCTCTTCAGTATCATCAATTGTGGATGGAGGATTTGTGGACCCACAAATCTTTGGAGCCATTTCCTCATCAAGGCCCTGTAAAAAGGAAAAAAATTATTCTATTATAATATTGTAGACTATGAAAACTATACTCTGATGAACACAGCATTTGATGACTTCATTGCATTTGTTCTACCAGTCTGTAATGATCAGTATCATCTTTGCTGTGTCGGGCTGGGTAGGTGGCATTGGGACTGGTGGTGCTAACAAACTGGGCAAGCTGGTGAGAAGGCCAGCTCTGTGGTAAGGATGGATTTGGACAGTGTGGAGGCAGTGACAGACAGCAGATGAGAGGGATGCTGAAAACTATAAAAGGACAACCCTCTCTTCCTGTGTGTGGAGCTGATGCAGTTCAGGAGCATGTGTAGCCACAGGCTCATTGAGCTACATGCCTCAAAGCACTTTGGGGCTCATTCGTACCATCAGACTCGTACATATTATTACTATTTTATCTCATATTTTAGCACTGTTTAACCAATAGGGTCCCTATCCACTAGATGTAAATACAACCCATCATATGCACTGTATCTATATGTAAGCAGCAGTATAGTTATTTTCCTTAATCAAAATCAACACACTGTATTTGGATTTTTTTCACCTTAAATATTTAACCCTTACATGGTTATTACAATGTGGAAAAATATTAACAGTGGAAAATAAGGAAAAGAGAGAAACGATTACATATTTCACTAAAATTAAATCATTTCTTATTTAATGAATAATTTCTTGACCCCCTTGATAAAATTGTAACTATGGACTGAAGCCCTATGTAACAAAATCAGATGCATTAAAGGATTAATGTACAAGATTTAATTTAAGAAGGATAGGTTGCGTCAAACCTTTTATACAAATCATGAAACAACACATTGAACTTACCTTTTCAAAATATTTGGGAAAACCACTTGATGCACCTGCAGACACCTTTTGAGCACTTGTAGGTGGTTCTGATATGGGTGGTCCCTGACCATGCTGCCCCTCTGAAGATGTTCCTCTAGGTTTCTGAAGATTTTAACAACAAACATCAGACCAATGAGATCAAGTAAAAATACTAATGTTCTAATACAGTCAGTTTACATATGGTAGTGTGGATGTTTTGTTACATCAACTATGTGAACACAGTTTAATGCTATAAAAATCATGTTCCACCTGAAGCTAGATGGGAAAATGTACAGTATTTTGGTATGTGAAATGTTCTATGGTTAAAAGCATTTCTTATATGAGAACTATCAATTTCACAAAGTCAAATTTTGACCACCTTGCATCTTCACGGCCAGTCTGAGTCACCATAATTATAGGTGATCTCCTCTCCTGGACTTATGTCTCGAACTGCAAACAAACAGAGATGGGGCTTCCCTTGCACAGTGAGGTACTTCATCTTGGCATTAGGGTTTATATGGCCCATTGAATATCATTTACAAGTCTGCCAAGTGACCCATCCTCTTTTGTTGCATCAACACTACAAAAACACAAGTAACATTTTCAAAACAATCAGTTTCTATACTAATACAGTGTAAATTAACCTGACGTGAGAAAAGAGGGAAAAAAAAAAAAGTCATATAATTCTGATTAGATTAACCACTGACATATACGTACCACCACAGTTTTCCATTAAAATGGAACTTGAACATAAACACTTTGAGGAGGTCATGGTAAATTCTGTCTCCTCTCACATTCTTGACTGCTTATTAGATCACCTCTGTATTCCAACAGAAAGTCTCCTTTTTCAAATGGAACAGAGGTGAAGATGCCGCGACCTAATTCAAAGACAAACAACAAATAAGTAGCAAAAAGTGATATGTATTAAAGTTGAATCATGATTAAACAGTCAGAAGATTCAACTTACCTTTTACAGCACTGATGTACTTAATGTCAAGTCCCACTTTGTCACTTTCAGCATTAATATAAAATCTTGCATCATCCTTTGGATTAATGCGTCTATGCCGCTGCATGTTTACAGGTGTCACAGCCTGAATTACCAAAAGTGATTGTCAGGATTACAATGTTCACTGGGACAAGCATGAAGTAATGTACAAGCCACATCTGGACAGAAGCCAAATGCTGTGCTCATAACTGCACCATGCATATTTTATTGATTATTTTAAGAATACATTAAAAAGTGTAACAACACCTTTCTCACAAAGTAACAGGCTGGTGGGAGTCTGTACTACATAACAGAAGGAGGATGACAGTTGCTTTAATCTGCAGCTGTGCTGGACCAGTCAAGTCTGTTTGCCCTCATGTTTTGTATATTGATCATTGATCATCAGAACGCTGCAGCACGAGTACTGACAGGAACTAGAAAAAAAGATCACATCTCTCCTGTACTAGCTTAATACAGTCTTAATACTGTGTCCGTGTCATCTGGTGTTGTCCTGGGATTTTGCAGGAAGGGTCATGGTTTAATTAAAATTGGTAAATTAACTAAATAAGTAATAACCACAATGATGGGAATAATAAGTATGTAGTAATAAGTAATGGTATCAATAACACTGATAACAATAGTTATATTAATGAGTAAAATATAATTAAGAAAGAAAACTATTCTTAATGTGCAGTCATAGGCAGTGTAGATTGTTGAAACGTTTAGAAAAGTATCCAGACCCTCTACCTGTTAACATACATTGAACGTTGTGACGTTGTAGACTTATTTTGAAACACCACCCTCAGCCTGAAAGCAATAGTGCAGTTACTACAGTCTGCGTGTCTTCTTCCTCACAAAATAAATCTAACTTGATGTTTTATTACATTACTAAATATGTATTATTTTTGCCATGTGTAACAATGGCTAATTAAGAATTTCGGTGTCTTATGTGAGGTTTAATTAGCACAGTAGTCCTTTGTCCTCTCTAGCTAGCGAGTGCTAGCACATTCATAACTTGTTCTGTCTAGCTAGGTTGTGCTAGCACATTAGTAGCTTGTCATCTCTTGCAAGCACAAGCATAGTAACACCTTGTCATCCTGCGCTAGCATAATAATACCTTGTCATTATTTTTAGCTAGCTAGCTAGCGCTAGCATAATAATTCCTTGTCACTCGCTTTAGCTAGCTGTTATCCCGCGGTGAGCGCTGAGACAGAACCGCCCCAACGCCCACATCAAAGGCATCCACCTCCACCACAAACTGCAGGGACTGATCTGGCTGGATCAGGATGGGAGCGGTGGTAAAATGGTTCTTCAGCTCCTGGAAAGCCACCTCAGCCTCAGGAGACCAGAGGAACTGCCTGGAAGTGGAGGTGAGAGCGATGAGGGGAAAAGCAACACGACTATAGTTACGAATGAACCGTCTGTAGAAATTGGCAAAGCCAAGAAGCCTCTGGAGTTGCTTCCGGTTCTCTGGCCTGGGCCACTGCAGCACAGCTCTCACCTTTTCCGGGTCCATCTTGACCTGACCCTCTGCTATGATGTATCGGAGAAAAGACACAGTAGAGGCGTGAAACTCACATTTCCTCAGCTTTAGCGAACAGTCTGTTCTCCACAAGCTGCTTGTCGGACGTGCTGGATGTGTTCGGCAGGGTCTTTAGAAAAAATCTGAATGTCATCCAGGTAGACAAACACAAAACGCCCCAACATGTCTCTTAACACGTCATTTATCAAACATTGGAATACCGCTGGGGCTGTTTAACTAAGCTAGCATCTAGCAAACTCTCGTCGGCCCCAGAATCTATTAGCGCTTATACCTCAAGGGACTCACCTTGCCAGCTGATGGTTGCGTGGAGTTTGGCCCGGGGTTGGCAGAGGGACAGATGTTTGGCTCGCCAAGATCCTTCCCGGCACTAGCGAGCCTTCCTGTTTAACGTCCGGGTAGGACAGGTGGCGACGACATGGCCCGGCTGCCCGCGGTAAAGGCAACAGTTCTCAGCAAACCTCCACACTCTCTCCTGCGGGGAGAGACGGTTACGGCCCAACTGCATGGGTTCCTCTCTGGACACCACCTCCCTGTGTTCACGCTGCTCAGCTCCCTGAATGAAAGCTGGGCGACTTCCAACGGAGTGGGGCAGCGGCCACTCCGCCGGGAGGTGACGTCACTTTCAGTGGTCCATCTCCTCTCTCTCCTGTTGTCAATGCGAATGGATAAAGCAATCAATTCATCCACAACTTTAGACTCGGGATAAGACATCAACTCATCCTTTAGGATCTCACTCAAACCGTTACAAAACACTGCCTGTTGCGCCTCCATATTCCACCCACTCTCCGCAGCCAGAGTCCGGAACTCTATGGCGTATTCAGCCACACTCCGTGACCCTTGACGCAGGGAGAGCAACCTCATAGAAGCGTCTTTACTTTGCACAGGACGATCAAAAACTTTACTCATCTCAGCGACGAAAGTGGTGAAGGGGGTGGTTACCCGATACTGTTTTCTCTAGTGCACAGATGCCCACTCCAGTGCCTCACCGCACAGCAGGCTGATGACATAGGCGACCTTGGCCTTATTGGAGGAGTATGACAGGGGCTGGAGATCAAAAACGAGTCCACATTGCATTAAGAAGGTCTTACACTGACCCAAATTGCCCTCATACCTTTTGGGGGTGAGACCCAGGGCTCATGGCCAGACGAGGCCACTGGGGGAAGATTGGAGACGGTAGGAGGGGAAGGCTGAGTGTGAAGCTGCAGGTCTGCCACCCTTGCGGTCAACTCCTGTACTCCACTCATCTCCCTCTCCTTGAGGGCGCCGCTGTGCAGGTCCAATATGGCGCCCTGGGAAGACACCACGTGGCGCACCGGCTCCAGATCTGCTGGGTCCATCCTGGCCGGATTGTACTGTCAGGCTTCGAAACAGTACCCAAAAGCAGACAGGAGCCGATGGCAAAAGTTTAGAGGTTTATTAGGACAACTAACTGACAGGGATGAATGAGCAGAGGGGGGTCGGGGCTGGGTCCAGGTGCCGTTGGGGAGGGAGAAGTTTGGGAAGCTGGCAGGAGAGGCGAGGTGGAGGAAAATCCATATGGCCTTGCAGACTGGCAGGGAAGACAGGTAATCCAGGGGGACAGGGCAAATTTCCTGCGGGCAAAAGACAAAGTCGTGAGTTGAAGGCAAACAGGAACACTGAACTAAACTGAACTAAACTGGACTAGACTAGACTAGACTGAGATCAGAGGCTGGTGTGAAGTGTACTCAGGTAATACAACAATCCGGTGAGGACTGGAGAGCTGACCAGGTCTAAATAGCATGCGGTGATGAGGGAATGCAGAGCAGGTGGTTGATGGTGACAGAGTACAGGTGTGCCATATTGAGCTGGAGACCACACCCACCAACTCCAGGAGACATGAAAGAGAAAACAGACAGACAAAAAGCAAAACCCACCAAGCACACAGCAAACACCCAAAAGCCCAAAAAATAAACAAAAGCCACTCATACACACACATAGCCACAAGCCAGGGTCACAGTCAGGAGAGCGTGACAGTTTGAGCGCTGCTCGAGATGGAGGTTACAGGTTTATCTGTTACAGGACCCATCCTTCGTTAAATTTGTGGAAAGTTGCATTGATAAATATTTTGAAAAAAATACAAATGAAACTACGGCCAGCATTAGATGGGAAGCATTTAAAGCTTATATTAGGGGAGAAATTATCAGCTACAAGAGATCTAAGACAAAGCGGCACAACCAAGAATTACGTACACTAGAAAACCAAATCAAAAAAGCTGAAACTGAATTTTATAATGATAATGACCCTGTAAAATTACATAACATATCGGTTATGAGAGCTAATTATGATAAATTAACAACTAATAAAGTTGCTGAAAGTCCGATGTGGATTAAACAAACATATTATGACCAAGGGGAAAAAGCAGGTAAATTATTGGCCTGGAGGATAAAGAAAATGCAAGCTGAAAGAACCATAAATAGTATAAAATAAACTCTGGCAACTTAACTATGGACCCCGTAGAGATAAATAACAATTTTAGAGATTTTTATAAATTGTTGTACAAATCTGAATGTACAGAAAATCGAGAAGCTCAGAACACATTTCCTGAGCAGTTGCAATTTCCGACTATTTCAGATGATGAGAAAATAACACTAGATGGTCCATTAACAACAAAAGAACTTGATGAAGCTATAGGAGGTATCAATAGCGGTAAGGCACCCGGACCAGATTGGTTACCAATAGAGTTTTACAAAACATTTAAAAGACAACTATTAAGGCCGCTTCTTGACATGTATGAAGAGTCGTTTATTAAAGGAACGCTCCCAGATTCTTTAAGGTTAGCTATAATAACCCTAACATTAAAATCAAATAAGCCCCCAACCGAATGATCGTCTTACAGGCCAGTTAGTTTAATGGGATGCGACATAAAAATTCTTTGCAAAACGCTCTCTAGAAGATTAGATAAATATCTCCCTCAGCAGATTATTGATGATCAACAAGGTTTTGTACAAAAAAGACAAGGATATCACAATATAAGAAGAGTTCATTTATGACAACTACTGAAGGTTTCAGGTACTTGGGTGTTAAATAATCCCAACAAATTATGATCCTCTGGTGGATAGTATAACTAAAGTACTGAATCGATGGTCTAATTTGCCTATCTCCATGATAGGTTGAATAAATCTTTTAAAAATGACTATTTTACCAACATTTTTATATTATTTTCAAACAGTTCCATTGCCATTGTCAAACAGGTTTTATGGTAAATTTTAACAAACTATTTGGTCAATTTATCTGGAATGACAGAAAAGCTAGACTCCGCCTTAAGCTATTATATTTGCCTTATGAAAGAAGGGGGCTTCAACTTCCCAATCTTAGATGGTATTATATGGCTTTCCTTTGATCATACTGTAAAAAAGCCAACTTTTATTTTTTGGCCTAAATAAGTATTTAAAGTAGTTACGACTTTAAAATATAAGTTATTAACATTTAACGCAAAAACTTAAGTCAGTCTAGCAAACCAAGTGATTTGTTGGCGTCAGTACAGTTAAGTGAGTTAGTACCACTTATATCTTTGAGTTGTGATTCAGAACAAGGGGTGAAAGATCAGATAACTTTTGTTTCTTTGTTGGAAAATGTGGGAAAACCAATGCTGCTCTCCTGTCTGGCTGTCTCCCATCAGAGCTGGAGTTGAATCCACTCAGGTAAGTTTTAACTTAATTTTCATGTAAGTTAAAATAATATCTGACTTTTTAATCATGGTTATATTGTGTTAGAAATCAATAAATAAGATAAGAAGCATTGTCATTTACAACAGTAAACGTTAAACATGAATAACTTAAATAGTGAACTTTGGCAGCTAGCTGATGCTAGCGATTAACTTGTGTTAGTAACGCTAAAATAGTGTCAGAATTCATATTCAGGATTATAATGTGTGACAAATCAATGAATAAGATTAGCATTATCATTGACAACAGTAAACATTAAATAGACATAGTTTAATTAGCGAACACTAGCAGCTAGCTGATGCTAGTGCCTAGCTTGTGCTAGTGATGCTTGTCTGGGCAAGTACCCTTCAAGCAAGCATGTTATTTTTTGACTGCTTAGTCTGAATGATGAAGTCAGCAGGTTGATGTTGACAGTGCAGACAGAGAGCAGGGCGGTGGCCTGCTTTATTTTGTGAGGATGAGGTAAGAAGCTGAGCAAAGAATATATCATAAATGTGTTTCTTTTCAAAATAAGAGTCTCGAGTTGCTTCTGTATATAAAATGCATTTTATATTAAGATGGTGTTGGAATTGTATGACTTTGTATTGAAGATTTATATTTTTCAACAGATCAGTGAAGAGTTCCATCGGATCACCAACAAGAACCTAATAGACAACTTCAGAGCAGCCATTAATCAGCACACTCCAAGGCTCCTTAGACTCTATCGGGCTAGGAGAACAGCTTTTCCACCTCAGATGGATCAACTCCTTAACCGACTGGATGAGGAGGTGAATTTTTGACGTAATGATCTCATTATATTCTGGAAATTTTGAACGTAAATGCATAACAAGGAATTCTTGGATTTAAGGATTTAACAGGTGTTTGTTGGATGTGGAAGAATAAAGTTGTTTGCATGTTTGCTCTGAGCTTTCTACATGATAGTTACATAATGTTTCTTCCAACTTTTTGTGTTTTAGACATCTAACATCACAGCACATCGACAGACTGTAGCCTTGAAGGGCCTTCCCTTATATTTCTGTGACAGTCATGAGAAGCTGTTCAGGAACTGTCTTGTGAGTGACTTGTTTGTAGAAACTGAAAATATATACAGTGTGAGAAATAGACTCCTAAGATGTTATTAATGCTGTACTTGACTCTGACTTCAACCATTCTTTGTCTGCCCCAGTGCCCAAAGTTGTATTTTGCTGACAATGGCATGATATATCTGATGTCATATGAGGATTACATTTTTTGGGGTATGAGATGGAAATGTTTAATATGTCAAACAAAAAATGTATACAATATTTGGGATCATTTTAGATGAAAGCCTATTCTGAGCCACAGTATTTAATGATAAATGTCTTTCAGTTTGATTTACTATTGTGTTGGTTATTTGCTTTCTGTCATCACAAGGCAACTGATCCAGAAGCAGACGAAGGGCCTCACTGCGGGCATCCTGACTGTGTTGGAGGATGATGATAGTTCAGGTCCTGCAAGTGTCATAAACCTCGCTGTGATTGTAGAAGGATCTCCCTGACCAACTGACAGCTTTTGCATACGTTTTTGGGATGAACTACGCTTTGAATTCTACGCTCCAATTAATTCAAAATGCTGCAGCACGAGTACTGACAGGAACTAGAAGAAGAGATCACATCTGTCCTGTACTAGCTTCTCTGCACTGGCTCCCTGTAAAATTTAGAATAGAATTTAAAATCCTCCCCCTCACCTATAAAGCTCTTCATGGTCAGGCCCCTTCATATCTTAAAGAGCACCCTATTACCCCATTAGAACACTACGTTCTCTGAATGCTGGGCTACTTGTGGTTCCTATAGTCTCTAAAAGTAGAGCTCCTCTCCTGTGGAACCAGCTTCCAGTTGTGGTTTGGGAGGCAGAAACCCTCACCACATTCAAGACTAGGCTTAAGACATTCCTCTTTGATAAAGCTTATAGTTAGGGTTGGCTCAGGTGAGTCCTGAACCATCCCTTAGTTATGCTGCTATAGGCCTACACTACCAGGGGATTTCCCATGGTGCACTGAGCTCCTCTCATCCTCTCTCTTTCTGCACTCATTCATGTCCCACTAATGTTACTAACTTCATTTCTTCCCTGGAGTTCTTGTGCTTTTTCGTCTCGCAGGTTCCCATGGATCCTGGTGGAGCCTCCTGCCATGGTCCTGCTTGACTGCCATTGCCAATATCACTGATATTAGTGTTATTATTATTATAAGTATTATTATAGCTACGTTTACTGTTGTTGCTGTTGTCACTGCTCATTGTCCCCAATCGTTGCTGTTGTCATGTTCATCATCATCAGTCACTACTATTAGTGTAGTTGTTGCTACTGTTGTTGCTGTGCACCTGTCTGTCTGTCTGTCTGTCTGTTTCTCTGTCTCTCTCTCTCTCTTTCTCTCTCTCTCTCTCTCTCTCTCTCTCTCACCCCAACTGGTCGAGACACCTAGAGCCGAAGGATCTGTCCTAGGTTTCTGCTTTTTAACAGGCAGTTTTTCCTTGCCCTTGTCGCCAAGTGCTTGCTCATGGTGGTACTTTTGGGTCTCTGTAAATAATGTTATAAGGAGTTCGGTCTAGACCTGCTCTATTTGAAAAGTGTCCTGAGATAACTTCTGTTATGAATTGGCGCTATACAAATAAAATTGAATTGAATTGAATTGAACCTCCAGGACCCAAAAGAACTGAGGTATACTTTTGAAACCATTCAGAAGGTTTTCATGGAAGTGTTTTTACACTACGTGCCACATTCGCCCTTTCACACAGCAATGGCAAAGCCCATAGAATAGAAACTACCTCATTCATATACATTCACACACCGATGCACAGCATCAGGAGCAATTTGGGGTTCATTATCTTGGTCAAGGATACTTTGACATGGTATCGAACTAACAACCTTCCGATTAGGGGATGACTTGCTCT